GGGCAAAAGGCATCCAAACTTTGCCGGATCATTGGCAAGAAGTTTTAGATACTCGGCTGTCCCATTTCAAAACCTAGTAAGTCTACAAAAAGTAGAAATTGTGTTTTTTGGTTAAAAGTGGTTTTCCAATAAGTTCCCACAAAATGCCAAAATATATCAAAATTCACTTCTATCAAAAGTTATAGGGTACCCTAAACCTAGTAAGTGCTTCTAAATTTATGAAAAGTTAAGTTTTAACCATTATAAAACCTAGTATGAATCTTTAACTATTTCAAAACTCTAGTATGTGTTAGCACATGCTAGGTTTTTGAAATGGTCAAATCTAGTTAGTGGGTTATGAAGTGAACAAATGTATAGAAAACAATATTTTGTGGTTTTCGTAAGACATTAAAATATTGAGTTACTAAGTTTTGCTAACTAACTTTATAGTAGTAGTAAAGGGAAAGATTTTCGCTGTAGTGTAGAAGTTTATCGACAAACAATTAAAAGACTTAATATTTCATTTAATATGCCAAAAGGCAATAAGTGCGCGGATTGTTCATTTTATGAAGAAGAAATTAAGAGAAATACACATAAAGGAATTGAAGTGCCAGAAGATATTTCGACTAAACAAAAAGAACATGAAGAAAAAGTTAAATTAGCAATGGAACCATAGATTAGATAAGGGGTTCCCAAACTTATGTCGTCTAACTTATGGCCACTTTGAGTATTTAACTTAAAACCAGTATAACTTCAAATTACATTAATTATTAGGAGCTATATTAGCGGAAATTAAAAATTCATTCTAAAGAAGATTTAAATTTATTTTATTTATTCAATAAAATAGGACAAATATGCATATACAAATTACACTGAGAGAAATATACAACCGAGTTATTATGAGCAATGTCTTAATTTACATTATGTGTTGATGTTCACAACTTATAGTCGGTAGTCGAAAGCTCAGTCAGTGTCGAAAAGTCCATGTAGATAAAATCACAAATCGCCGTTTAATAACTTTAAATATAATCTTTGCCCCCATTACAATATATTAGGTCCTTACATATGAAATTGGTGTTTGGTATGGCATCAACAAAAAGTCGAATATTAATATACTATATTTATTTAATCAAAGTATAAACCATTGTTATCTATGCACTTTTGCCATCTCATAGGTAGTTCATTATTCCCCTTACTAAAAAAACCATTCGGATGGGAATCAATAAAATCTTTGAAGGCGTTTTGCACTGCCCCATCGGAGTTGATTTTTTTCTCTTGCAAGAAGTTATCCAAATTTCGAAAAAAATGGTAATCTTTGGAGCAAGGTCCGGGGCGTACGATGGATGTCTTAGACATTCCAATTGAAGCTCTTCTAATTTGGTAGCCGTCTGTTGTGCAACGTGTGGTCTAGCGTTATCGTGAACTAGCAGTGGCGTAGAGCGATTGACCAGCCTCGGTTGTTAAACAGCTAGTTTTTCCAGCATGGTTTGCACTTGCTGACAATAGACGTCTGCCGTAATCGTCTGACCAGATTTGAGAAAACTCTAATGAACGACACCGGCACTAGTTCACCGAACGCTTACAAGTAACTTTTTGGGGTCAATTTTCGTTCGGGGCAGGATTTGGCTGGCATGCCAAGGTCCAACCATTGCGATGAGCGCTTCCGATTATCGTAGATAATCGACTTTTCATCACAGGTAATGATTCGATTTAAAAACCCTTCATTATTGTGCCAGTTAAATAATGTAACGCAGCAGTCGAAGCGCGTTTACCGGTTTGCTTCTCTCAATTCGTGAGGTACCCACCTTTCAAGCTTTTTAATCTTTCCAATTTGCTTCAAGTGGATTAAAACAGTTTTATCACTAACACCGCAGCCTGCAGCTAACTCGGACGTGGTTTTCGATGGATCCGCTTTCACAATACCCTTCAAATTGTAAACTTGGGTCTCCGGCCGTCCATGAGGCTCGAAATTTCCAGAACGAAAACTTTGGAACCAAAAACGTACTGTGTTTTCTTTTGCGACATAACCGCCATACACATCATTAACCCTTCGAGCCGTTTCCGCAGCACTGGTACCATGGTGGAACTCGTACTCGTAAATAACACGATATTTCAACTTTTCCATTTTTAATACTGGGTGACGTAAATAGGACAAATAGAAGGAAAAAAACAAATGAATGCCGCCTAATAAAACACAAATACATGTGTAAATGGCTGTATAAATTTGAATTTACTAGCTTTTGATCTGGATAAGCTGATTTTTAGCTAATATGTTAAACCAGATCTAAATCTAGTAAGAGAACTTACTAAGTTTGAAATGGTTTTGGAAGTCAATTTTTACTGAGACGTTTTATTGTTAAAAATTTTTAGCTCATAAAATTTGTAGAATGAAACTTAGACAATAATTTATATATCAAATTGACAGTTTCAAACTACTCCACAGTAAATAATAATTTCTCAACAGGTGTTAAATAGTTTAAAAGAGCTACCCTAAAAAGTGTTTTTTTGCTCTCCTGTAAAATTTTGTCCAAAACAGTTACTAGGTTTTGAACTGGGACAGCCGTACTAATGATAATTACATCATTGACTATACTTTTTTTATTGTAATAATAATAAAAAAGTAAAAACTTAAACCAAGTGCTCTTTACTTTTGTGCCAACCCGATATATGTAATAGTAATATAATATATGGAATAGTAATATATATGTATTAGGATAATTTTTTTGTAAATGTTGGCACACTACCACATCCTTCGGACAGGTGTCCTTTAACACAAGGGTTGTCTGGAAGAGATCGCTTTTAGCGATAATACCGCCTTTACCCACAATAAAGAGTTCATCTATCTATCTATCAATGAAATTGTTTCTAGCTAGTTCTGTAGATTTTCTTAATTTCAAAGTTAAATCGTCGATATAATTATCGTAACAATATTTAAATTCTGGTTGTGCTGTTATAGACGAAGGTAAACTAGGTTTATTACCGAACAATAATTCATGTGGTGTAAATTTTGTTGATGAATGAACAGAAGTATTGTAAGAAAACATTGCGAAATCTATCCACTTATCCCAATCGTGTTGGTCTTCTTGTATGTAGTGTCTTAGATATTCGGCTAGAGTAGCATGACTTCTTTCAAGACTACCATTGGTTTGCGGGTGGTATGCAGTGGTAGTTAATTGCTTTATTTTGAATAATTTCGAAAATTCTTTTAATAATTTTGAGGTAAAGTCAGCACCTTGATCAGTGAGAATGGTCTTTGGAATTCCGAATTTACATACAAATTCTTTTACAAATACGTTTGTGATTGTTTCTGCTGTGTGATCTGGTAAACCGTATGCTTGCGAGTATTTCGTCAAATCATCTTGGAGAGTTAAAATGTATTTATTACCATTTATAGTTAGAGGAAACGGTCCAACAATGTCCAAACTGATTTTCTCGAATGCTTCGTTTGCGGTTGTTGTTATGACCATAGGTTCTCTATGCTTTTTACGTACAAGTTTGTTTTCTTGACAGGATTCACATCGCGATATATAGCTTTTTATGTCATTTTTCATGTTTTACACACCATATAATCGCTAATAACTCTTTTTCGGTAGTAGAACCTTAAATAAAGCAGAACAGAACTTGTTCTGCTTTATTTAAGGTTCTACTGGCGTAAGCAATTGGTTAAGTCCTTCCCAATTGTTCCTTGAGATAATACTCCTCCTATGGCGTAATTTCTAACATCTGTTGTGAGATTAAAAATTTCTTTAAAATCTGGATAGATTAAAATTAGAAATTCACAGAGTTTTTTCTTGAGAATTTCAAATAACTTTTGTTGTAAACTTGTCCAATTAAATGGAATATCTTTTTTCAGAAGTTTTGTTAAGGGTTATGTTAAACTGCTAAAATCAGGTATAAATCTTCTGTAATAACCTGCTAACCTTAGGAAACTTTTTATATCTTTAACATTTTTAGGAACAGGGTAATTTTCAATCACTGATATTTTATTTGGGTCTGGTTTTACTCCATTTTCTGTAATCAAATGTCCTAAGTACATAACTTCTCTTTTTAAAAATTCACATTTGTCAGATTGCAACTTCAAATTATTTATAGAAAATCTTTCAAATATCTCTCGTAGTTTCTCTTTATGATTTTCTAAATTATCCGCATGTACTACAACATCATTATGGTAAACAAAGCAACGATTACCTTGCAATCCTGTTAATATGTTTGTTAACGCCAGTTATTTATAATAATTTAATTTAATTATTTCATGCGTGGTAAAACTCCAAACTCCACCTCCTTAAAGCATTTGAAAACAGCGCCCTCGACGTCTGTCGCCATCTAGCGGTCAAGACAAGAAAAGTCAGTTTGAATAGGGCTCCGCCGCGAACTCGACCTTTCTGCGTATTAATTGGCTGAAAATCTTAATAATTGGCATCGCATATGCCCGGAATTGATCCGTAGTACTAAAAATAGAAGATTGTTGTGCTTCAGTGATGAATTTAAGTGAAAAAAGTGACTCGCAGTTTAGATCCATCATCTGGGTCTCGCCGGCGTGAACGCATTGTGTGCGTTGATAATAAATTGCGCCTTGGAGCTGCTCTGGTGTAAGTCGCTGCATGCTTTCTTACTTTCTCCTTAAATCGTACCACGCATATATTTCCTATAGAGTTCTACAGTCCGCTCAATTTCATGAAAAATTTATTAATGAGCGCGGCCAATGTTATTCATCAACCTTTGAAAGGTTGCGGGAGCATTTTTAAGTCCAAACGGCATTCTTTTATATTCAAAATGTCCTCGAGGGACAGTAAATGCTGTTTTAGGCGAATCTTTAGGATGCATTTTAATTTGATGAAAACCTGAAGCTAAATCTAACGTAGTAAAATATTTAGAGTGACCTAGTTGGTCTAATATCTCGGTTATTTGAGGCAAGGGATAAGAGTCCCCGATGCTGACCTCGTTTAACTTACGATAGTCTACAACGACTCTCCATTTCTTTTGTCCTGATGCATCTATTTTTTTAGGGACCACCCATAAAGGTGAGTTCCAAGGACTACTTGACGGTTTTATGACATCATCTTTTAACATTTTATTTATTTGTTTATCAACTTCCTCTTTTAATGCTTCTGGATATCTATAACTTTTAGTGTTTATGGGTGCTTCCGTCTTTGTATATATTTCGTGCATAACTACATCTGTAGAAATTAATTTATCGCCATCCAAATAAAATGTATGATTATATTTTTTTTATATAATTCAAGCAAAGATTCTTTTTCTTCTTTATTTAAATGTTTAATCCTTAATGATTTTTCTAACTTTTCAAGGCGAATACTTTTGTAATTTAGATTAACTATAATTTCGTAATCTAGGAAATAAGTATTTTCCTTTATTATTATCTTTAAAATAAAATATTTCCTCATTAGAAATAGTCAAATTAATTTCCTCTAAATTCACACGTGGCACAGGAAAAGTAACATCATTAACAGTGATAAGACTAGGACATAAAAGTACTCCTGTCATTAACTCAATGCGTGGAACAATGCCCTGACTCAACGGTGTGTGATTATTTACTAGTATCGTGATAACACTTTCGCTTCGCGCTTTAATAGTTAACATTTCATCGTTTGACTCCATTCGACATTTTCCAAAATATAAATCAAAATTATTTTTAGCTAATTGTAATGACTTGGTGCTATAATTAATTATCTCATCAAATTTTCTTAGTGTATCACCTCCAATAATACCATTACAATCAATAGGGAAATCATTATCAACATTGTGGAGTGTAATCTTTAAATTACCTAAAAACTCCAATTCGACATAACCTAAAGTCCTCCTCGGTTTGTCTACTTTATCAATTCCCTTTAAATCGGCCAAAATACCATAATGCATTTCGGCTTCCTTAGGTACATATTTTTCTTTTATGAGGCTAATATTTGCACCGGTGTCTATTAAGAAATTAATATCATTTTTGTTATCCTTGAATTTCAATGAAACTAAGTAACAATTACTTATCGCAGTAATGAGTCCTTTAATAGAGGTTTTACCCTCTGGTTGACTCACGCCTTTGGGTTTAATTAGTTTTTCAATTAGAGTCTGATGAGTTCAAATTGTTTTTTGAAAACGTTTTATCTTTTTACCCGACTGCGCGACGCAAAGGAGGGTAATGTGTTTATCAGTTTATGTATGTATGTATGTTTGTTTCTATGTGGCGCTCTAGAGACCAAATGTGTAGGCCGATTTTGATAATTCTTACGTCAATCGATTCGTTGTAATCTTACGAGTGTTACTAATGACATGACAGTAATCAAAATTCACCACAGCGACAACCAGATGCCATATTGTCTAAATCAAAAAAATAAAAATCGATGAACTATGTCAAGTGGGGTGTCGTTGAATTATTTTAAAATCATCTTCAGGTTCCTTTTATCATTTTTCATTTTTACAATAATTACAATACTTAAAAATTTTATTAGGCCCTGTAAATGATCGAACTTTGCAATTGATAACTGTGTGACCAGGTTTGTTACATTTATAGCAGTGTTTGGTGTTTGATATATTTAAAATTTGAAATTTGGAAATTTCGTTTTTGCTTTTTAACTGTTGTTCTTCAACCACAGCCAATAAAATCGCGTCCTCTAAGGTTTTAGGCTGGAGAGCTTTTAATACTAAATTCAAATCTTTATTTAATCCTGTTATAAAAACACTTAACGCTTGTGACTTCAATAGATCCACACATGCTTTTCTTGCATCTGGTGATTGGTTAGATGCATCTAATGAGTTTATTAATTTTATGTAACAATTTTCTACTTTATTGGCATACTGTATGACCGTTATATTTCCGTTTATGTATCTAACAAATATTTTTTTAAATCTTCCCAATATTGGAATTCTCTATTTCTAATCATAGACCTAGCGTTGTCAGTAATTTTTGTTATTATAATTAGCAATAATATTTTTTTCAAACTTGGATTTATTATAGTACATTACGATATTAGTGCGTTATGAAGGTCATAACATGCGAGGCGGAATTTCAGCCCGAGCCGAAGGCGAGGGCGTAATTGAGCCGAGCATGTTATAACCAATACGCACGTATAACGTACGACGTTTTTTAACACATTTGCGAGGAAACAGAAAAAGAAACATTTTATATTTTGTTCATTTTTAATTATTAAAACAGTTAGTGAAATTACAATTATTAAAATGATAAGTAGTTGTAGTTGGTTTTTTAATTATGTTATTATTACTATTCATAATGTCATTGTTTTGTGTTAGGGTAAATGTTGGAGATGACGAAACTTCTTGAAAGGCGGCAAAAGAGCATTGTAATTCGTCATTAGTTGTAAATAAAAAAATATTATCAGTAGAAGTAGAGGGGCGCGGCTCAGGGCAAAACTTCTTCGTTTGTGGCTCCAAATTTATTGCCTGAGTTATTTTGGCACTTATATTTGCTTTGTTTTGGATGGAATCTTCTACATAAGATTCTGCTACTGTGCTAGAACGCCACCCGCCATGCCGCTTTAAAGTCAATATATCAGCTCCCGAATCAGCAAGTAATGGGCCGTCGATAATAAAAGATCGGGGTATTTTGTTTTTAGTGTTTGGGATTTTAACTAAAAGCATTTTGCCTTGATTTTCAATGTCATTTGTGGTAATATTGTGCAGCTCTTTCTGTCTACATGCACCATTAATACCAAATATTAACGCAACCTGAAAAGAAATAAAAATGTGTTAGATAAGGTATAGGTACTTAGCTTACAGGCGGTCGTTAAAAATATTTAAAAGAGTATGTACAGTAGGTAGATCAATACATAAAATAAGGAGGCAAATTGACCTTTGTAGCCAGGTACTGGCTATCTGGAGCATCTCTTAGAAACTTTTCGAAGTCATTTGATGACAGTACCTTAGATTTTTTCTTTATAAAACCATCAAAGCGTCTCTTTAAAAATGCAATGAGATTTGAATATAAATTAATGTCGACACCATTTTTCATCTTGAGGGTACTTTTCAGCATAGAATATGTTGTCCACAACAAGCTAGGCTTATTTTAATGAACTAGCTAGTATATACAAGCTAGTTCATTAAAATACGCCAAAACTACATTTTCGGAAAATGATTTGGCATTTTTCATGTTTTTCCACTTCAAGAAATTTTCATACGTGGTTATGTATCTGTCTTTGGATATTGACTGCCGTCGAACCGCAAGCTGTCGCATGCGGTTCGCGCTTCTGTTAGTATATCCGGTGGAGTTGAAGTAATATATTGCTCTTCTTCATTATTGAAAGTTGTCATTTTTAGATATGCACAATACAAGTACAAAGAAAGAAAATTTTAGAAAAATGGCACGAGGATTATTTTCTACCGTAGCTGCGTGAAAATGTTGGCAAAGACGTTAGAACATGCAGCCAAGTTTTTAAATTACCGAAGTTTTTTTTTATTTAAATAAACTCAATCTGTGAATGTATACTGTTGCTCTTATATGTTGGTGTTGGGATAATCTTGATTTAAAATAAGTAAGACCTTTTCATGCGTTCGACATATTTATTCGAGTACAAGTATTCTTACGACTAGACAAGGACTAGACAATGACCATAAACTAATTATCATAGACAATAGACAATTCACAGACTAGACTACAACATGCCCTTTTTTATTTTTAAAAGATACTTGATATAATGACAAATGACATTGACAATGACAACTGATTTCAAATTCAAAACATTTCTCCTTAACCATACTTTGCTAACTTCAAAGTTGTGTTAAGAGTAATTAAAATTTAATTAATACATTTATATTTAAATTAATAATACAATACTACATAATTCAATTAACTATCAAGTGGAGTCAAGAGTATGGCATATCTTATTTTTATTACTGACAAATTTACAATACAATTCAATTTATTATAAGTCATATATTGTTACAATAATACATAGTAAATATTTATAAATCAAATTTCTTAGTTTTCTTTATCAATCTACCTCGTGAACTATAAATTCTTTCAGCACTTAAGGCGTCGTTACATTGTGAAGGTGACATATTATTATTACCTAATATATTTACATTTACATCAGGACTATTTGGTAAGTTTTGTATATTGATATACTGAGACGGAACAGGATTTGTATGTGGTACTTATTATAATCATGCAGACTTTCAGGTGAGACAATACTTTCATCAACATTAACAAACAATGGAGATTTTGGCAACCATTCACTATTAGACTGACTTTGTGATTCGACTTGACATTCAGAAACATTTGACTAACCAGACTCGATTGACAAGAAAGAATCAGAATCATTGTTCTGTTCTTTTGAACATAAATTATTACAAGATTCATGAGTGAAAATGAATATACAATTATCATCCTCTTCCTCAAAAATTGACTTTTGACATTGATTTTTTATTTTGTTACTTACAAACAATTAGACTTATAATCAAAACGAATATGTTGACTATTTCTCCTATAAGTAGTATTGTTACAATGTTTGACAATATAAGATCTTGGATATTTTGTTTTAAACAAAATAGTACCCTTAGTCCATATTATATCTTTTGGGTTTTACTTAAAATAAATTTTGTCATCAATGGAAAATTCAGGCTCATATTTTTTACAATTTCTATTATAATATAATTTGGTTTTTTCCAAATACTTTTGTTTTTTCTTATAATGTTCATAATGCTTGACAATTTTAGGCCTTAGATTACATACTTGGTTGGGCAATTTTGATCTCAAAGTTAAGATTCCCTCAATTCACAAAAATTATTCATTAAACCTACAAAGTTGCGACCATTGTCAGAAAATATTTCTACCGGTTTACCACGTCGCGAAATAAACCTATTGAGCGCTAGTAAATATGCTTCAGTTGTGAGTGCAGTGACTAATTCTAAGTGCACGGCCCGCGTCGAAAAGCACACAAACAAACAGATGTATGCCTTTGAAGTTCGCGCCCCCCTACCTTTACGATTGAGTATGAGCACCGGCCCACAGTAGTCAACACCGCATCGAAAGAATGGAACGGCAGGCGTTATTCTTTCCACGGGTAAATTACCCATGCGAGGTGTTAATGTTTTACCTCTAAGGCGTTTACAGGTTACGCAGTTCCATACTACCTGCTTAGCCAAATTTCGACCATTCAGAGGCCACCAGGTCTCACGTAAATTATAAAGTAATGTCTGAGGTCCAGCATGAAGAAGTCGTAGGTACTCACTACGAAACAACAACAGTGAGAAATAATATTGTAAAATAGGATATTTTTTGTTGTAATTAAATTCATCCGAATTACTTAATCGGCCACCTACGCGTATTATTTTATTCTTATCCATAAATAAACTAAGTTTACTAAACTAAGTAAGTTAGGGAGGCAACAGTGACTCGGTCCGCTACAGTGGCTCAGCCGTGTGCCGACCTAAAGGGATAGGAATATATATTTGTCTCTTTTACCGATTCGAAGGTCTTGGTACCCGAGCACGTTTAAACCAGTTTGCTCGCCGGTCGAGCGCCGTGCGGAAGTGTGAGGGAGTGATTTCAGTTTTCGCTCCCACTAAATTATATTCTAAGGTGAGTTTCGATTATTTTCATATCTTTGTTTGTTGCTATATGTAATAGCCATCATATTTATCGGATAGTAAGTTTTGTATTAATTGTCTTTAACCCGTATTTTGACTTCTATGTTTTACATCTCGGATGCTTTGATCAAATGTTTTCAAAATGGCGTAGAAGTACACAGTGACTCAATTTTTAAAGGTACACAGTGGCTCAATTTCAGTACTTTTATAGCTTATGTAAATTCAATATTTTTCGAACTTTTTAATCGTATTTTGTTATTTTATTTATAGAATGCCCCGAAAAAAATCCGAGAGAAAAATAGGGAACTCTTTGTATGAAAAAATTAAAGAAGGTTTGCAGCTTATAAGGACCAGAGAATCTATAAGAAAAGCATCAACAAAAGTTAATGTACCGTTTGCTACACTTAAAAGGTATTATTGGAAGACCAAGAACTGTGAATACCTTAGCGAACGGTCACTTCAGGAAAAGCGTCTATTAAGAAACAGTCTACTCGAAGCACGTAAAAAAGGACTCCACGCAGTTATACAAAATAATAAACTTATAATAAACGGAAAACCACAACTACTTACCGAAGAATCACAGCACAATATAAACATTAGCTTGAGTACACGATACAGTCAAAATAATACTCCAAATAACAGCACTAACACTAATATCAATGTTCGCGATAGCAGTAACATGCAGATTCCTTCAGATTCAAACGATCACTTTCGCGACAAAAACTAAAGATTTCAAAATACTGTTCCAAAATATGCAAAGTTTGAACAACAAGATACATATACTTGTATATCAGAAACTTGGTTATCAAGAGGTAAGTCGGAATTAATTAACTTTACGGCATACAACCTCGCATCATCGTATTGTAGACGAAACTACGAAGGAGGTGGCGTTTGCATATTACTTCACGAAGATCTAGAATATATTGAACATAAAGAAATTGTGGACATGTCATTAGAATATATTATAGAAATAAGTTGTATAGAAATAATTACGCATAATATTCTACTAATTATCATATACTGGAATGGGAGAGAAGTAATTCTTTTCTACAAACAATTGCAGAAATTATTAAACCTTTTAGTACAAAAATATAATAAAAAGAAAATAATATGTGGTGGAGATTTTAATGTAAATGTGTTGGAAAATAACAATAAATCAAAACAACTTCTAGAACTTATGTTAGAATATAATTTTCGACAGTGGATAGATGAACCTACCCGAGTTACCATTAATTCCGAAACTTGCCTGGATCTTATCTTTACTAATTTTTCGAATTATACTTTTGACACACTCGTAAAAGAGTTCGGTTTCTCAGATCATCGGGGCACAGAAATAAATATAAAAAAGTTATCATTACACGATAGACCCATTACATGGAAAATAAAAAAACGTTTATATACAAAACCAGAAATAGAATTATTCAAATCCACATTAAAAAACCTAAACTGGGAAAATATTCTTAATGCAACCACTGTAAATGAAAATTATAATAAATTAAATGACATCCTACAAAATACTCTAATTAATTGTATTCCTAAAAAAATTATTGAGTTAAAAAATAATATAAGAAAAAAATGGCTTACTATTGGCATAAGAAAATCCTGTAAAAATAAGCGTACATTAAAACAAATGGTTACCTATACAAACAATCCTATACTTAGAAAGCACTACAAATTATATGAAAAAACACTAAAACATTGTATAAAAACATCAAAAAAACTTCAATATATTCGTCAAATAAAAAAATCTAATAATGTAACGAAAACTATGTGGAATATTATAAAAGACCGAACCAACAAAAACGTTAATAAAGAAAATAAAAATACGCTCCTACGTATCCACAATAAACTTGTGTCAGATCCCTACCAAGTTGCGAATTTGTTCAATAGACATTTTGTATCGGTCGGGCACTCGGGCGCCGCAGGTAGCAGTGACGGGGGCACGCCTAGCGGCCGGCCAGTCGTGCAACCTGTCCTCAACTCAATGTACCTACAGCCGATTGACTTACGCGAAACTATGACTATTATAAAAAACTTAAAGTGTAAATACAGTTGTGGCATCGATGAATTGACACCAGCCTTAATTAGACAATGTTACCAAGAGTTAGCAATACCATTTCAAATATTAATTAACCAATCTTTTGACAGTGGTATTTTTCCGGAATTATTAAAGATATCTATAATTAAACCTATCCATAAAAAAGGCAAAAAGGATGATTTACAGAATTACCGCCCAATATCTTTGTTACCCACGGCGTCGAAAATTATAGAAAAAGCTATGTGTAATAGATTATACTCGTACTGTGAAAAGTTTAAAATTTTTGATAATGCTCAAAATGGATTTAGAAAAAATCGTTCAACAACCTTAGCAGTTTTTAAATATGTACAGGAGATTTTGGAAATATTAAATTGCAAACGTTACGC